TAGTGCAAGTAAAAATAAAAATATAAGGCGCAGTGATAATAATTGGAAATGATATGTAGACTTTCAAATATTATTTTTGGAATAATTTTCTGTATTAAACAGCTGTCTTTGCTTTCGGGAGTGTGTGTAATGAAAAACAAAAACTAACAACAGAGTGTAAAAATGTAATTTCCTGAAGAGGGATTACTAATAAAAAGTGCTACATTTGAATTTAAAGGAGCTTCACTGCTTCATCTTCATCTGGACTTTGAATATATAGATAATCCTAATGTTACACACTGGACCTTTAAAGTGCTTTAGCTGAAACTGTTTTAGAAAGGTATATATTCAACTGGGGGATTGCAAGGCCTTGTTGATTTTAAGGGGTGTATGAAAAAAGATGAAAAATACATAACACAGACAGACAAGTTCCCTAAACAGGAAATAATCTGCTCAAAATTCATCCAAATTACTGGTCTTAAGGTTCAAGGTTACTCTATTTGTACCCACAGGTAGATTTGGTTTACAGTAAAAGTCAAAGCATTCTTTTTCACAAAAAAACACCTCAGACAATAGACAAACATGACTATCAACTTATTGCAGCTACTGAGTTCATTATTTGGGTACATTGTACCATTTTGAATATAATATGAAATATCCATAAAATATGTCACTTAAGCAGGGGTCGTCAGTTTATTTAATAACAGAAAATGGCTTCCTTATAGAAAACAGTCAGGAACTGTTGGGTTAAATAACAAACACCTATTTGTTAATGCAATACAATTGAATGAACTACAGCTGAGTCAATGACTCTCTAAAAGAAGTTGAACAAAAGCTGTGCATTTGTTGTTCTTCACCTTAGCAGTTTTATGGTTTCCCACGGTACTGAAACAGGGTAGTAATGTGTATTGACTCTGCAGCAGTTCTCAGTCCATTAAGTCAATCAGGGAAGATTTAATGCCAGAATTTATTTTATATTTAACATTTATATAGAATTCAGAGATTGGGGATAGATGTTTGTTTTTGTTGGTAATTAATTTGTGGACAGGCTGGCTAAAAGAGCACCAAATACGAGGCACAAAGTGGACATTTCAGAAAGGGGAAGGTAAAGCACTAATAAAAAATTAAAAAAAAAGGTGGGATGGAGATGTCAAGGGTAGAACATAGAATACAAAAACAGCTAGAACACAAGTATATGTGTATAAGTGAAAATGTTGGACATGTAATACTGCTCTGTATTAAATACAATGGAGAGTGTTTACAACAAAGGGTGAAAGAGGCTGGACGAGGATGGATTAGAGGGGATATCTGAGAAGCACAGAGGGCCCATAGTTTCTTAACAAACACAGGATTGTTTAGTAGAATATAGAGTTTCGTTTTTTTTATTTTTTATTTTTATTATGTTCATAGACTCATGTAAACTTTACCAGATCCGGTTCTACGTCGCCCGGTACGGTAGGTGGCGGTATGCACCCGTAAATTGAAACTGCGACCCGCCAAACACACACAAAGAAGAAGACCGTCACTGGAACTCGACGCTAACACGTCACCTACAGCCCGTGCTGCGTTTGTTGGCAGTTAGCCTAGCAAAGATGGTTGACACAGGAAGCAGTCCTGTGCAGCCACGACGAGTCTTTTAAGAGCCCATAACGTTTGATGCTCAGCGCGGCAGACAGGGTTCCGTGTCCTAAATAGATAGCGTTTGTTATTTGTGTCAGAAAATGGACGACGTGGAGATTACAGACGTCGATGACGGTGACGTGGCTCAGGTGGAGACGGCGCCGCTCCAAAACAAGGATCTGACTTCCGTGAGCCTTATTGGCAAGTTGACACATAACAACACCGAGCAACTTGTTTAATGTGGCGTTACTTCTGCTTTGACACACCAAACAAGATAGCATGCTAGTAGTTAGCACTGTTTGTTTTGAAACGTCAGCAGTCTGAGTCATAGTGACGTTTCTTTGTGTAGCTAACGTTAGATGATGTCACGATGGTAAGATTAGCACGTCCACATCAATACACAGCAGTTGTCACTGTGGCTTGTGGTATTTTTTAAATTAATTTTTAATTAAAGCTGCGGTCGGTAACGTTTATGAAAATAACATTTGTCATATTTGCTGAAGCTTTATTTTTTTCCTGACAGTAGTTTACAGGATAAATAACCTGTGGAACAATCTGGTTCCTCTGGCTCCTCCTACTGCTCCTAATGCTATTTGCAAAAATCCACCGGGCCTGAACGAAAACAACCAATCAGAGCAGAGCAGGATAGATGACACTTTGGGTTGGAGGCTGGATGATAGCTGATTGTTGGATCTAATTCCCAGTGTTGGTATTGGAAGACGTGGGAATGAGTCTCAACAAGAAACTGTCTTTCTCAACTCGGTCAGGATATAGTGAAAGTTCCAGCAAATATGACATAAAGTTATTTTTATAAAAGTTACCTACTGCAGCTTTATTAAACAGCAGGTACACAGGGCATACAGCAGACAGAAATCATATACTAGTTAACAAAAATGTTATACAGGGTAAATACATACCCATAAGTTTATATTAGAGTATGGGAGTAATGTATTGTTTGACTTGATGTTCAAAATGTAAAAAATATTTTTTAATTAATGGTTTATAATGTCATTTCAATATCTTTGTAAAACTGACTTGGACAGATAAAAGTGATGAATTATTTTAAAAGTCACTTCCTTGACTTTATTTTATGTACAATATTTAAATGTTTTCTTCCATTATATAATATAACAATGAGTGTGATATTCCATCCTTTGGGTTTAGTCCATAATATGTTATTAATGAGTTCAAGAATTATTACTTTAACCAATATTTTTCTGTCATTTCTTATGTGACCTGGTCTTTACTGTAAAGCCATTTATATCTCACATATGTCAAATAAGGATGCTTTTAAACCAAGTAATATGACGTGCTTTCTCCTGCCCCCCCACAGTGGGAGAGCTTCTGTCCCTGTATGGGTGGCACCTGCTTGTTGTGACTGTGTTGGTCTACCTGCTCATCCAGTACCTAAGCAAGAGGAGGTCCAGCCAGAGCTCCGGCAGTTCACCCACAGAGACAGCACAAGGTCAGCCCCAGTGCTTACTAATAATACCTGTTCATATACTGGGTACAAAGGTGTGATCAGTAAAACTCCATATGGTAGAGGTCCACTGTGAGGCTGAGCACTATGGGGAAAATAACAGGATTTGATCAGATATATGCAGCTGTTAACCACTGCGGCACCAGTTAGAAAGAAGCAGTTCTATATAATCATTTCTGGATTATCCAAAGTAACTGGGACACTGTTTCTGGAAGGAGATGTGTGGATATTGTTGTGGCCTCACCATTAAAGGACAAGTATGGATCTATTTCATGTTATTTTAAAACAATAGTACTAACATTACATGTGTATGTAGAGAGAGTTGATGATTCTTCCTGTTCACTGTCTGTGAAGAGATTCAGTGCCTCTTAGTGAAGGCTAAATGTTATGTTTTGAATTACATTTTCTTTTTATAAAGATCGTGCGCTCGTGGAGAGAAACCAAGAGGCCATGGAAGCAGCCCGGAGAAAGATGCAAGAGGAGCTTGATGCCAAAGCAGCCATCTTCAAAGAGAAACAGAAACAGGTGCTGTACTCCTATAGAAATGTTTGAAGGAAGTGTGTCCACTGTCCATGGTGTCAAACCTGAACTGAATGTGGGATGTTTTTTGTGAACAGCAAGAAGAAGAGAAGAGGAGGCAGAAAATAGAGATGTGGGAGAGCATTCAAGAGGGTAGGAGTTATAAAGGAGTTGCAAAACAAGTGAGTTTGTCGTTTGTCACTTTTATCCCCACTGTTGTGGCAATCATTTTAAAATGATATTAACATTTCAAACAGTATTGTACAGGATTCATTGTGAAAAAGCTGGTGTTCACACTAGGACACTAACTTTTTCAGATCACTTTCCAGAAGTGCACCAGCCACACAAAAGACCAAAATATTAAATTCCTTTTAAAAATGTAAAAAACAAACAGTGGCGGCAGATGAAAAAGGCATGACAGTATGTTTCTGTGGTCATCTACCATTACAGTTAGCTGGCCTCACCTAATTTTACGGTCCTGCTTTTGTCCACTAAAGTGATAGTCGGTTTGCTGTCTTCCGTCTGCCTGAATCCATGTAAAATGCAGTGCAAAGCCTGGTCCACACTGTCTGCGTCTGTGCGGCGGAACAGCTTGCTTTTTATTTTGCTGCCCATGTTAACAGATTAGAGCAGTGGTTCACAGCAATATAGACAGTGAAAAGTATCTGTCCATAGTCATATCGACATTAAACCAACATACACACCTTTGACACAGTTTGAATGTCTGTTACGAACTCAACACCTACTATATATGTTGGAGATTAAAAGCTCTCTGGTGTTTCTATGCACACAATTCATTCCTACGTTAACAGGGGTTTTATTGTATTGTATTTATCAAAGGCAAACTAAGTATAGAGAGATGGAGCTGGCAGCAGCAGCTCAGCATCAGAGATACACTCTGTGTGATCACATCAGGGGTGTGAGCAGCAGCAGTTGAGCGAGGCAACCAGGCCTCATGCTACAGTACCCTGTCAGAAATGGAACAGAAGTGAAGTGCTTTGTGTTACAGTTTGCTTGTATGATTAAATGATTGATGATAAAAGCCACCACAGGTTTTCCCAGCAGACCTCAGTATTCTCAGGTGGTACCAATGACACTAATTAAGGTTGTGTTGTGTTCAGTGTAGCAGAGCTCTTTTCGCAGTGAGTTACAATTGACCATAGGCAGCACCTTAATTGGTGATCACTGTTAAGCTAACCCTGCTGTTTACCCTACTATTTCTTGCTTCCAGAAAAAGGTCTATTGAATGCTTTTAATGTAAACTAGTCCGACATGGCCAGATGATGTTACTCTGTCTGGTCTCCTCTGACCACTCGAGTGTGATTATGTATCACACAACTGTTGTCACTGATGTGATAGATAGGCTTACCACATTGACACACTGGTGCGGTCATGGTCTGAGTCCCTTGCTGTAGTATTTGATTAATGTGTATCCCCACAGACAACTGAAGAGGCCAGCTCATCGACAACAGTGCTGAAACCAAAGACGGACAAGAGGCCACTTCGCAGCGCAGGTGTGTACTTCAGTCTGAAACACAGCCGGCACTAGTGCTGTTTCATGCTTAAGTCAAGTGGCAGTCATTTTCCCGCCTTAAAACCCAGAGTTTTTGTCCTTGATAGAAGGAGAAACTGTGTGTGTGTGTGTGGTGTGTGTGTGTGTGTGTGTCTGTGTGTCCTGTACCAGCGGTTTTTATTCTGCTCTACTGTGTGTGTTTCAGACTACAATCCCCTGGCAGGGCCTGGAGGAGGCTCCTGCTCCTGGAGACCTGGCAGGCGAGGGCCATCCTCCGGTGGATGAGGTTAAAGAAGGTCAGAGACATTGGTCTGTGCGACCTTTGACCTCTGACATCCTCACATGCACACTGACTGACTGAAACAAGCTGACAATATCACCAAAGCCACACTTAATCAATATTTGATTTGACTTGCTTCATACTCCTACTGGGGTGGTGATGGGTTAACATCATTAATAGCATATACCTGCTGTCCTAGTTTCTCTACTGTTCCCTCTAATCTCTGTCTGCTTCTTTGTTAAGCTCAAAGATACTATGATTATCACAAAATCATTCTGACATTGAAAGCTTTGTAAATGAAGCATTTCTTGTAAATGGCTAATTGAACCAGAAGTAGATTGCTGGGTGATGATGCACAGTCGGTGTGTTTTTTTTGTTTTGTTTTTTTTTCAGATATATTTTATCAATATGTACCACCATAGCTTTAGAGCTGATATTGCTACAGAAAACATTTGATTATAAAGTTGCAATGTAATGACAGAATGTCCATACTGTTATACACATTTTTATGCAATAAAGACATGGTCACTGGGAGTTTGTATTTGTTCAGCTTAATCCGCAACTAAAGGTGGTGTGAGGGTGCAACATGCTGAGTGCAGCTTTCTACACTTTCTAACCTTTACTACTTTGTCCAGGAAGCCAAAATCTGTGAACAAATTACATATTTATATGAAAACAAGACGAGTAACTCACAAAGCACAAGTTGAGTGTGTGACAAATAGCTTAAAGATCCAGTGTGTAACATTTGTCAGAAAAGGAATATAATATTCATAGCTATGTTTTCATTGTTGGTTTCATTAGTGTATAATCACCTGAATATAAGCACTGTTGTGTTTTCATTACCTTAGAATGAGACATTTTTATCTCGAGAGGCAGCGGGTTGCCTTCCATGGCAGCTGACAGTAACCCAGAACAGACCAACCACTGGCTCTAGATAGGGCCTTTAGCATTTCACTGCCACCATAGTTTCTCCTTCATGCTTGGAAGGGGAGGGTGAAGCGAGGGAGTTGCTATCTAGTTGCTAGCTAACCCTTTTTTCCCAGGATGGAGAAGACATGGCTCGCCATACTCCACCTCTGATTGGCTTACCCTTATATCCTTAACCTAACACTAACCAATCCCACTCCTGGAATGGAAGAAAGCCCATTCAGCTTTCGCTAAGGCCCATATTGGCAAAGACTTTTGGGAATTCATACTCTGGTCTGATGAGACCAAAGTCAGATGGCACCCAAATATATGGCATCGCAGGGGGGAGGGGTACAGTGGTACAGTTCTCACATGGGGGTGTATGAGGGCTGAAGGTAGGGGGAATTATTCTGCCCTGATGGTGCCATGAGTGAAGAAGCTTCCCTCTCTCCACTGCCGGGGTCGTCGGCCCGAAACATTCTTCCAGTGCCACTGCTGCATTCTTAAGGAAGAACAAGGTGAAAGTGCTGCAGTGGCCAGGTATCGTATGTTACCTGACCACATGTAGTGGAACACGTTGAGCAGCACTCGCCATCAAATATTAAGGTACTCAAGGAGGTCATCCTCCAGGAGTGGAACAGGACAGACGGATAATGTCACAAATTTGTACACTCAATGCCAAGTCTTTTTTGCATGTCATACCCCTCTCTCTCCCCCGCTTACTATCTGCCTCTATCCAATAAATGCAAACATGCCCCTATGTATAACTAGCATCAGTCCCTCCGGGACTTTGCAGGGATTTTTTTTGGGGGGGGGGTTGTTGTGGCCTAAAAATGCCCGCTTTCATGGCAGCGTTCCTAAAAAATTGTGAGAAAATGAAAATAGTTAAGATTTGCATTGTATAATTCATTACAAATCGAAGGCAACTTGTTCAAGTGAGGATAAAATTACTGAGCATATGTCACGTATGGCTCAATGTTTTGCACAGTGGACTGGGGAAACCCTAAAGTACAATGAAAAAGGAAAAGTTGCAGTGATAGGACAAAACTGCAAGGTTGTGCAGAATTCACAGGGATTGGTTGAATTATTGCAATCACAACATGGCGACTTCCTGAAGATAGTAGCCTGATGTAATCACTTAGAAAAAATGATTCCTCAGAGGGTGTGTTTTCATTTATGCTGTGCACTGAGTATATGCATGCACATACATGGACATAAAAACAGTCAGAAAACAGAAGAGAGGACTGGTAGACGTACAGGTTGTAGCTGTGTATGCATTATGTATGGATAATGCACAGTATGGCAGAAGGAGTGCGCTAAATCTACAGCTGGAGCTGTCAGTAACAGATTGTGACTGTTTTAGTCTGGTGACAATTCTGAGATATTCTGATGGGTTTGAAAGATCTGTTTATGTTTGTAACATATAAAGGAGCATAAAACCCCTCAAATTGGCTGGAAACAACTACCAGAATAAGGCATGTGTGCTATAGATGATTCCAACCACATGGGGGAGCTCCAGGCCACAGAGCTGACTGCAACAGGCTGCTTGTGTCATTTAGCACTAAAGTAGTTGCAATGCACTGTAAATGTTTTCCCACATTTTCTGTAAGTGAGATAAAGTTTGTATGTTTTTTATCATTATTACCTACCACTTAACATCTACCTATTACTACTTTCTACTACTTCAAGTGTTGTATACAGTGTTGATGTTTTGTTGCTTGTTTAGGTGGTTGGGTCTGATGATGTGTTCTGGTTGTATGGCTTTGATTCTGTGTTTTGGGTGTGATGGTGTTGTGATTGTTTTCATTGTTTGTTTTTCTGTGTGTATGTATTTATTGTCTTTTCTGTTATATTATGTTTTTGTGAATTAAACATATACAATGTCATATATACAAAGCTAACAACCTCTTTCATTAAATATCTGGTTCTTTGATAGAAAAAAGTAGAAGGGACAAAGTTTGTGAATCTAAAAACTTGGGTGGGAGAAGTCAACTACGACTTCCAGGGTGCATTTCGACTAGAAACCTCCAATCATGGAGCTCAAACTTCTGTGACGTGCGCAGATTTCTGCTGTTGGGAGAACTGATTTATTATCTGCAGTTTACATAAATTAACTTTTAAATTTGAGATAAATCTTGATTGAGACCAGCAATGTCAGCGCCGTGTCTCGCTAACCACTGCCACAACGAGGCGTCCTCAGTCCGCTAACGCTCCTCTGGATTCTTCTCCATGGCAACGGCGGCCGACAGTATTGTAGTGTTTAGAGCAGAAATGGCGGCTAAAACATGACTTATCAGACCAAATAATTAGAACAGGCGAACCTAACGCAAACGTATATGGTCGTCACGTTTCCCTGGACAGTCCTGTCCCGCTATATTAAACAATATCGAGGACATCGAGGAAAGACAAATGAGTGAGACTCACTTCCGGAAGCAGCGGACCCGCCCACTCCGCAGCTCCTCCAGTCAGAGCGCGTCTACGGAAATGCCGTTGGGTCAAACCGCTGTTAAACCCTTTGCAATCAGCAATCTCGACAGTCCCGACATTCTTCCAACTGCGAGATAATGACGAGAATGGGGCCGCTATTCAGGGCAAAGAAAAAAGCTGCTGCATTCGTCGATCGGCGTTGAAGTTGGCCGACGGTCGGTAGCGACGGTCCGCTGGATGATCGGAGGGAGCAGCGGCAGAGAACGGTTCAGGTGGCCGCTTCAAGGAGACTGCTGTGATGCTACGTAGGCAACTAGAAGAAAAGGGCTTTTCTACCATGAGAGAGTGTGTGTGAGCTCCGCCGATACGGTTTTTGGTTGTTTTTATTTTAATTTTTATTATTTGGTGCATTCTTTGTGTTGTACAGATACCGCTGTTTTAGGATACAGTGAGGATACAGAGGAGCTGGTGAACTTTTGGGGAATGGCAGGTCGAAGCCGAAGAGCATGGTTTAGTGTTCTGTTGGGACTGGTTGTCGGGTTCACGCTGGCTTCCAGACTCATTTTACCCAGGGCGAGCGAGCTGAAGAAAGCCGGACACAAACGAAAAGCAAACCCCGCCGGCTGTGGCTTGAACAGGGGTCTCAGGAAGGAATACGGCGGAGTACAATGGCCACCGCAAGATAACGGTTCACCGGCGACCGAGAAGCCTGGCTCCAGGTCCAATAGTTTCCTCTTCGTTGGTGTCATGACCGCCCAGAAGTACCTGAACAGCCGAGCCGTGGCGGCGCATAGGTATGTGATGTGTCAGACAAGACTCAGCCGTTCAGCCGTCTGTGTGTAATGGAAGGTAACGGTCCACCAGTGTCACTTTAAAGCTGTAACCCTTTAATGTGGCCTCCTTTCATAAGCTTACCTGGAAGGACACGGACAGAGGGAAAAAACAAATTCCATGTACAGGCCTATTTATACAGTAAGGTTACATGTATTAAGTATAGGCGTGGGGTATGAGCATTTCATGTCAGAGGGTTAGGGTTATTGTCTTGGCCAAAATAATTGCCATTTACAATATTATCATGAAAATATACTTCATACTTTTAAAATGGCTGTAAGACATTTTGGAATCACTTTACATTTAGTCACAGATAGCACCTCACCTCCCTGTTCTCTATGTGTATTGGCAAGAATCTTCTCATACGTATCACGATACAGGGGTTACGGTTCAATATATTGTGATATATTGTCATAGTATACAGAACACACCACCGTATGCATCTAAAAAAGCAAATCGAAGTTTAAACAACTGTTAACTTTCTTTATGCAACAAGAACAGTGGGATCTGCGTTTATATTTATCACAGCTGCTGTGACATCCATTATAACACACAAATGTATAGGACATCACAAAACAATGTTACGATATGTTTCCGATATTCTCTTACTCCATACTATTTCTACAGTAAGGTTAACATGTATTGGGTAGATGCAATGGGATAATTGAATGACACCATTATCTTATCCAAGATAACTGCGATACACAGTATTATCACAATATCATATCATGATCATCATTATCATTAGCTATATGTGACAATATTGTATATCGTCCCATCGCTAATTAGGTAGCTACTGAGCTAGCAGCAGTCATTTTTCTACTACGACTGCTACCATCCAGCCCCGTAGTAGTATTTGTTTTTAAGGGAATGCATAGAGAGTGTGAGAGAAGTGTGCTCACTGTCATCTGTGTGCTGTAAGTTGCTGTCATTAAAACCACATAATGTCCAGTTGAATGTCCCCTTAAGTAGCTTTGAGTAAAATAATCTTATTCCACTCTGTCTGACAGTATCAGAAATCATATTTGCCTCTTACTGAAACTACACGATGTGTGGAATATTCAAACCCTGGACTGGAGGGTTTTTATGGCTGCACCATACCATCAGATGGAAATACTGTACATGTCTGCTGCATCGTTTTAGACACACCTTTGCAAAGTTCAGCCTGATAGATTTGGCATCTATGGAAAGTTTGGGATAGAACTACTAACAGCTATTTATCAGTCTGATTATTCCTCCAGTAAATCAATAAATCATTTAAAGAAATGTCCCAAGATGGAGAAATGCCATCACCACAAGCTACCAGAGACCGCCACATCATCTTCTGTGCAACCAGCAGTCCAAAACCTACATGTTGTCAGAATGTTTGACAGTCTTGATAAATGACTTAAATCCTTAATCAGTCATCAAAACAACTGTTAATTAATCTTCTCCTGAATTAATTCATTGACTTATTGTTTCAGTACTAATCTCCACCGGCATTTAAATAAAGCTCAGTGGGTTTGAACAGTGCACAGTATGAGCTAGCACTGAGCGACCCACCCCGGCAGGGCACTGGGGCATAAGAGGTTATTAAGCTGGGTGACTTGGAGTGTCTCATCTGCTCCAGTGAACAGAAGTGATATATTGGGTCTGCTAGTCCTGCACCAGACTACAAGGCTACCAAGACTGTGTTCTAACCGGGGCGTCACAGACCTTCTCACAGCCGTTTGATAGAATCACATCAGAGTTCTGGCTGAGTGCGCCACATACAGTCATACTCAGTCAGGCACTCATGTAGTCGTTATTGACTGATGATATGTGTCCAAGCCACAGAAATAAGCTAGTGTTTTCTTTCCTGTGTCCCAAGGCTTCCATTGATATTGATGCACCACATTGTTGTCTTGTGAAGGCCTTCTACTGTATGACGGCAGCACTAGGATGTAGTGTTGTTTAGTGGGTTGAGACAAGACACTGGTAAACCTCTTGAAATTGCTATTATTATTATTATTATTATTATTATTATTATTCAAGGTTCCCATGCTTCCTGGACAACACTGACATTTAGAGACTAGTTTTCCAGTCATGGAAACAGCTGTAAATTGCTGGAAATGATCCAGATATCCTGGAAATTGAAAACTGTTTTGTCCTGGAAAATTTGATTTGATTGTATTTTAGCCCTGCACTCAGGTCGTGTATTTATTTATTTACTTTTTTTAAACTCGACTGTTAGGACACTTCGAGGCCGGTTGGACACCCTTTTCATTTCTGCTCCCATGTCAGTTTAGATCTGTTCACACCACTTGCAGCGAGTCTATTGTGAAAAGGCTATAGACGGCCACGTCTGCATGCATGCAGCCTGTTATTAATGATCACATTTAGATTTGTTGTTGATGCACAGTGATGTCACACGTCCCCTTTCTACTTCTACTACCTCTAACAGCCCTGATGGTGGCGCTACAGCAGCCGTCTAAGGTTTGTAAAATCAGCTGTAAGTTCTACTGATTTGCAGCTTTCACCACAGTGTAGGCCCAGTTGAGTAGGAATTCTAAAGTCACTCTGTTTTTCTCAAAAATGGTAAAACGAACTGAATTTGACAGTGGTTTGAAATCTGCCTTTACATGCACGGACAGCTGTTATCACAACGGTCCACCTCTAATGTTCTTGTTTCTCTGGTTAGCTCATCAATGGTCACGACGGGCCATTGGTGGCAAAGGTTGTGAGTTCGTGTCCTGGGTGATGCAGGATGAACATTTTATTCCTACTGGGGCATTGTGCTGTGTGAGGCAGAGACACGTGACTTCAAGGTTTTATGATAAATCTGGTTCCTCCTCAAAAGGCCGTCCGTCTCACTGCTGCACAGCGGCTATAATTATTCTTTTAATTCCCCCAGATTCAAATACCTAACACCTGGAATGAATGCTCATTTTAGGTTAATTGAATTATCATGTGGGTTAAGAGAAAATTACAAGGACAAAAGGCACGTCTCTCCATGACGGACATGCTTGCATTGTGAATGTACGGAATGAGAACAACTGATGGATATCAAAGAACTAATAAGATAAAGCAGCGTTACATCTTATCTTATTCTTGCATCAAAGATTCCCTCTGCTTTTGGTGGTACTCACGTAGAGGATCCATCACACATCAGTTTCAGTGGCATTAAAGTTAAAGGAAAGCTTCACCATTTTTCATCTCACACACACAAGAAACAAGCTGTTTCTACTGAATTTGTTATCTGTTCACTGGCTGACTGAAGAATAAATCTCCCACTGAAATCATCTACTACATCTACTCCTGCGGAGAAGTTGTGTGGATATGTTTGTCTGCCCTTTCCTGTGACGTATTAGGGAGTAAGTCAGCATAAAAAAGGAAAATAATCAAATTTTCCACAAATGGAAGATGGACCATTGCTTTACGTTACATTCCCTCCTTCCTGCATGTTTAGCTGCATTTTTCAGTTGCCCATATCACATGCATCTGACAGAAACCCGTGTGAACACATCCGTGTATGCAGTGTAGTATAAAAAGACCAGCATTGGCGTCCATGTCTGCATCAATTTAACGGCGTCTCCTGCCCTTTCATCAGTACAGCTGTCTGCAGCGGCTGCGTGACAGCTTACTTCACTTACACTTTATGTGTGTAACCGGGATCTGAAGCATATTTTTATGCTTTTTTTTTCTCTTCTTCAGACTTCCGTGTGTAACTTCAGTATGTGTAATGGAGCCACAGTAGCACAATGGCTGAATGCATTTAGTGTGATACTGACAGGACCGCAACTGCTGCTGACAGGTCGCTTCAGTGGTGCAGCCTTTGAGACGAGGTTTCCCTCCTGGGCCTATGGAAAGATGATAGCATACCGCTTTTTAGTGGGAAATATAAATTTCCCTTGTGTTTAGAATTAGCTGACACCATATACTACTGTACAAGATAGGGCTTTTTAATCTTGTGTCAGGAGAGCGCACTGTGAGCTGGCTGAAGGTGTGTGGAGCAATCTCCTGAGAGTGCTGCACGCTTCTTGTCAACCGTATCAGGTTGAAATGATTTCTGGTAAAATGTTGAAAATGCACCAAACAGAGACATTATTGATTTTTAAAAAAAAAAAAAAAAAAAAAAGTGAATTTGCCTCACAACAAACGTTTACACAGAGTAGATTTGATAAGGTAAAGCTGTAAATCTTCCGCCTCTGGAAAGCCACTAGGGTCTGCGTCAAGTAAATTTCATCAGCTGCTCATGTCAGTGTCCAAATTTAGGAGCGTGCATTCTGTACACACCTAAAAGCGGCAAATTCACATGTGTGAATGACATCTGTGTGTACACCCGACGTAGTATGTACAGAACCATGTAAGCATAGGGATGGTAAGACTTTGGTACACTGGCATAAAAGTTCAAGATGCATTTGCCCCGGTTAAAAAAAGTGTGCACCGACAATTTGTAGGGATGCACAATATGATTTAAAAATGATTTATTTATATAGAATTGTTAGTAGAGACTCTATGCTCTTATTATTTGGAAATAAGACCAATCATTTTTTATTTAGTCTGATTCCTCCCCTCTTAACTGTTTCTCAAGCTGCTTAAGAAGAACCAAAGAAATACAATCCCATTATGTATGCTAAATTGAAGCGCATAGCATCATATTCCTTTGCTTTCCTTTCCTTTTGTATCCCATTGAATTGCATTGTGTTGAGTCACACTGCATCGCTTTAGGTTTATTGTATCAGATTGTTGGCAGTGCAACGGGATGTGCATCTCATCGGCCTCAGTGACGGAGATGCACATATCCAGTGTCTGCCTCTGTGTTTGAGCTACAATTCCTTTCCTGTTATTGCGAGTTGTTACACGTTACAGATAATACTGTGTGTGTGTGTGTGTGTGTGTGTGTGTGTACAGGACGTGGGCACAGACAATTCCAGGTCGCGTGGAGTTCTTCTCCAGCGAGGGCTCTGACACCTCCATACCCATTCCCATAGTGGCTCTGAGGAACGTGGATGACTCGTACCCGCCCCAGAAGAAGTCCTTCATGATGCTCAAGTACATGCACGACCATTACCTGGACAAGTACGAGTGGTTTATGAGGGCTGATGATGACGTCTACATCAAGAGTGAGAAGCTGGAGAGCTTCCTGCGCAGCCTCAACAGTAGCGAGGCCATCTTCCTGGGCCAAACAGGCATGGGGGCCCGGGACGAGCTTGGGAAACTGGCCCTGGAGCCTGGAGAGAACTTCTGCATGGGGGGGCCAGGGGTCATCATGAGCCGCGAAGTCCTAAAGAGGATGGTGCCCCACATTCGAGAGTGTCTACAGGAGATGTACACCACCCATGAGGACGTGGAGGTGGGGCGGTGTGTCCGAAGGTTTGCTGGGGTCCAGTGTGTCTGGTCCTATGAGGTAAGATTTAATTTATATTCCATTTTTTGTTTTACATTGACTCCAAAACACACATATTTCAGGGCACAGAAAATGTGAGGTCCCTAATACGGAAAAGACTGTTCAGTACCGTTCTTTGCTCTTTCAATGAAGAAATACTCTCCAGTTCTAATAGAACTGATGCTAGCTACGCTAACTTGTTGCCGTTACCGTCTTCTCGCTGTGTCACAACTAGCGCCCGCCCCCGTAACTGCCAGTACTTCCTCAAAAGACTGGTCTGGTACCACTGTACCGGACACATTGAAGCCCTGCAAGATGGGTTCTTGTGTGATCTTGTTATTTCGTGAGATGCCTCACAAGGTTAGGAGGATCCTCAAGCGCTCCCAGTCTAAATGAGACATATAATCTCTAAGGTGTGTTTTGGGTCTAACCTGGGGTCTCCCGGCCAAGGCAATCCAGCCTCACGCAGCTGAGCCGAGGTGTGCTTCAGTAAACCTCAGGCGGATGTGTGTAATTGCCAAGTTCCTGTTCACAGCCTCATTCTGTGCCGGGGACTTAAAGATGCTTGTGGCTAATGCAAACCATCCACTACTATAACTGCCACATCATGTGCCTATAAATGACATCCTAAAGTTGCCTCGACTTGATACAAAGCCATGTCTCTGTGGCTGCTAGCTACTTGCTGAGTCACAGCTCATTATACAGGAAATTCAGTTTTATAATTTAAAACTGTGTAATTCAGCACCACCTCACCATCCACACTTAGAAAAAACAATGGAGTTGAATCAGCATCACCCTGACACAGTGTCAACAAACATGAACATTAGAATCTGTATATGAGTGTATACAGCGTGCTGGCGTACAGATGGTAATACGTTGGTAACTCCGTACAGTGAATCATGAAAGATGTTGTGTGTTGCTACAATGGTTCCTGAGGAAGTACAGTACGCTACGTGATGAGAATAATTCTTATTGATGTCCTTGTGGTTTGGCGACTGAGTGAGTTGTGAAACCGTCTTTAGCAGAGGCGATAACAGAATGCTGCACTGAATGAGCACTCTCAAACGTCTGTTTATGGAGAATTCAATTCTTCCTCACATTAAGCCCCTCTGGGACCCCCGGTGATCCGTGGAGCTACTTGAAGAGATGTTGTGCAGGCCTTGTGTGTGTTTTTCTTCATTGGAGACTTTGTCACAATTTTTAAGCGTTGTGTTTGTTTTTTGTATGAAATGATAGCTGTCATCGACCATGTATCAGACCATTGTTCTCATGCAAACAGAAGAGATGCTTTGAACCCTTTGAGTTCTTTGGCAGGTAGACAATGTGGATTAACAGGATCTGCTTATGTCATGGAATTTTATGTGTTCAGTAAGGTTTCATCAGGCGGTGAAGGACAATAGGGCAGCGCCAAAAGATTTTCTGCCTTCTGCGAGCGCAATGACACGATTTTCTTCAAAGCTGCAGCCAGAATCGGGGACCTAACATGCATTTGGCTGCTAACATCCAAAGCTAAGCAATCAGCCTCTTCGGAGCCATCATTTTGAGTGCAGCAAATTACAGCTTGGTGAAAGTGTCTTGTTGGCTTTTACATGTTATTTCCCCTCTAGATAGATGTGTGCTTTGTAAGGTGGAATTTTTAATCTCTGTGTCAGTGAATAATGAACAGTTGTGGGTCATCATAAGGTCACAGTGATCATTGTTATTGTGCCCTCACCTGTGGGCTGACCTTTGACGTGGCTTGGTTTACAGAATAGCATTCCATTGGCTGCCACACTGTCCTGCCTGCACTGTTGTGTGATGTGTACACACAAGGTTTTGTTCTGTTTAGATAGTGGCACACATAGTTCTGTTATGTTTCAAGTGGCTTGATTGATCACTTAAAGCACACAATACTCACCGCTGAGACACAGTCACAAACACAAAGGTTAAAGGTCCAGTGTGTAACATTTAGGGGGATCTATTGTCAGAAACATAATATAATATTCATTAGGTATGTTTTCATTAGTGTATAATCACCTGAATATAGGAATCAGTGTTTTTGTTACCGTAGAATGAGCTGTTTATATCTAGGCTGCGGGTTGCCTTTCACAGAGGCCGCCATGTTGAATTGCCATGTTCCTACAGTAGCCCAGAACACTTGGAAGGACAGGGTGAATCGAGGGGGTTACAATCTGCAACTGCACCGCAAGATGCCACTAAATCCTACACACTGGTCCTTTTAAATTCAAATTTGCATATAAATATCAGCCAAGGGTGGAAATATCCTGAACTGGCATGTGTTCAGTTCAAAGAGTAAAGTGAATATGCTGTGAGTGCTGTGAGCTTTCTGTTATTCATCAGGCAGCTGAACTGGCTGCACTGTGCCTAATGGATTGTATGGCATTCATTCATTTTTGAAACTTGCGTGAGTGTTGTCATTGCCAGCCAAAAAAGTTATTAAGACAACAGTGCTAACCAGATCATCCCACCACAGCGGGCCCCATGTTGGGACAGAGTTTTGAAAGACATGCCGCAGCCTCGTCATCAGGGGAGAGTGTTTCTCTTTGTGTGTTCGCTCCAACCAGCCTGTTCTCTGACATGTCTAGACATGGCTGTGCCATAGACCTGCTACTCATGTGGTCGTTGTTCACATGAATCTGAGCCCTTTGAAACAAATGGAAATTACACAATAATGCGTAGGTTCAGTGACGTGGCTGTATGAGTAGATCTGAGAGCGATAAAGGCGCCTTCGTCGTGTCTTCACTAGTGTCAGATAAAAAACTTTTATAGCATCTCAGACAGTGCACAGAGTTAATGAAATTAATCTAGAGGAATGCAGAAGTACTCAGAGATCCACCTTAAAACACAAGGGGGGGAGGTGTAGCTACTGAACAGCATTTAGCAATGCTAAAATTCACCCAGATTTACATCCCTTAAAATATGAACTACATAATACAGTGTATGATCATAATTTGACATGTCTGTATTCCATTTTTAAATGAAAACCTTCAAGGACTACCCTGTGTTGACTTTTTGATATCTGTTCTGATCTATTCTCTGCTGCCCTGAGAGTCTGTGATGCATCATTTATTATTAGTTATTGCTACATCAGTTGTAACTGCAGCTTGCTCTGTGTATCTCTCCACATGTCCTCGACAGTTTGAAAATCACATATTTTCCCATGTCTTTTATTTTGAAAATTCACACTGTAGACAAAAAGCTGCAGCCACCGTCCGACAGCCTTGCATCTCTGCTGACATATTGCAAAACCAAGCCCATAATGCATGTCAGGTTAATTGAAAAAAAATATCTAATGTTTTAATTTGGAGCAGACACAATATGGACCCAATATGGCTCTCCTACCCAGGTACGTCTTGGTGAATTTAACCAACCTGCATTCAAAGGCAGAGTCTTAACGCCAGGGTAAGGTTAATGTGTTTTTAATAAGAACTTAAATAGTTCTGTCATTTATCATCATCGATGTGGAACTCCCTCCACAATACTGGACGCCATAGTCAGTTTCACGCTGCGTATTAATGCAATGACTGCGGTAGTCATGAGCACTTTGGTATCCAAAAACTGAGTCAGAGGTCAGAAAGGTTTGGGTTAGGGAGTATACTGACATGCTGAGGAGGGCAATGATCCATCAGTGCTGTCTCACAGTGGGTTTCAATGTTGTCTTTTTTCTTGTTTCAGTGATTCAGCTCTCAAGGGTCTATATTTCTAGATCAGTCGGGCTTTCTCATGCTAGACCAATACACAGGAAGTCAGCCGCCCACACTCATGAGCAATGCCTCAACATGCTCTTATCTCTCGCTTTCTCAACCCGACGTCCTCTCCCAGCCAAGTCACACAATGTTGCTCTTCTCATTGTTCCCCAACGTAGTAATGTAACATAGTAATGCAGGAGTATTCCGATACATAGTATAACAATATTATAGCTTATTCTATAACTGACCATGGGATTGTATTGCTCTGTAAATGTCTGTCAACTCTAGCACACTATTGAAGGTACCCTGTGGTGCTGAAAGTACTGAAAGAATGCCTGTTCATGCTGTGTTGTTTACTTCTTCTGTGTGTATTTCCCCTGTGATCAGATGATCTCTGGTTTAAATTATAAGGGATTTAATTTTATATTTTATTTTATTGAGGCAAACTCCTTGTACAACTGTTCTGACATTAAACACAGATGCATTGGAGTTTCCTCAGTTTGTTAAATGGAACAAGGTTTTTTTAGTCACATGGTTGCAATGTCATATTCTCTAGAAAACAGTGTAAATTATAATTTAAAGTCTTCTAGCATTTTTATAACAAGAATATCCAGCAACAAACAAAACCAGAAAGGACATTATTGTGAAGTGCTGTAGTGCTGAAGAGGTGCTCTACAGACAGACCTCAGCAAATGTCATCATGATTTTAATAGTATTTTTCAGTTAAAATGAAAGTTTTGGTGCAAAAATGATCATTCCCATTAATCATGAATTATATCTGTCAACATAATCGCAATCTGATTTTTATTTTTTTTATTTTTTACTATATTGTGCAGCCTAAATACAAATGTTGATCTCACTGTTCTGGTTGCATAAAAATGTTTTTAAAAAGTCATAATATATCACCTTACTTACAGTATGGCGATATATCACTATATATTGAATCGTAAGCCCTGTATGGTGATACATATCATATCGCCAACACAAAGCCCTAAATTAAACAGTTGTTGTATTACGGAAGACCTAGTTTTTCTGCACATCACTGACCTGTCTATGTCTTCATTATTGTTATCAGTATTATTATTAATATGTTAATAATGAGAGGATGAATCATTCTGTCTCTATCTGCGTACTGTATGTGTCCTTTCCTGTCGTGGAGTGTGCTCAGACGGCCCAGTATGCGGTGAGCCTCGTGTATTTTCAGACATCCTGTGGCCACTGCTCTGTGTGCTTCTCCTCTGTCTCCCCTCACCAGTGCCTTCGCATCGTGCTAAAAGTAGGCCCTGCGAGCGAGGCCCAGAGAGCAAATAAATGTTTACACTCACGACTCAA